TTTGACTCGCGAATGGAAGGGGTTAATATAATAAAATGTACAAGAGAAATAATAACTTTTATGAAGAGAGGAATACGAACGATATTCGCCGAACATATGACAATAAATTTCCGTTTGCCATCTTGATTGCAACTTCAGTTCGTACTATAGGATATTGAAATTTGTAGAGTATGCTGAAAAATTTGCGTACACGAAGATTGAAAATTTTCGCTAATTTCAGCGTTAAATCGAATGGTAAAAGAAACACGAAGCGAGAAATAGTTTGAAATTAAAGGTGGAAGGCGAATCTGCAACTGCGAAATCGATCGGCAAACAGCGGTGTAGCGGTATCCCCGTGTGCTGACTAAGGAATTGACAGTGATTTTCGTATTGTTACAGAGCTACTGTCAACAGTGCTGACTGCTCGAGCGGCAGTTTCCAATTGGAACTTTGCTCTCCCGGAACGAACGAAATTTGTTGCAATTCACCGCAGTGTAAGATGCATCGAAGACCTCTTCTATGCTCCTTCGAACAGTCAAAGCGTGTACTCGGCAGTTTTCAGAGACTCAGAAGTGGATCGAAATTCTTTCTCATTATTTCCGAGATTCTCCGACGAGACCTTCGCTCCCTCGAGAACTATTCCACTCTTCCACCATAGACAAATAGATAATTTTGATTGAAGAGCAATCAGACGCAATATGGTGGTTCTTCGATAGACAGTGAAAAGATTGCTTTTAGGAGACTAATGTCAATTTCCGACTATCGTAAGATAGATAATTTTAGATAGCTAATAGTTATCACTATTTACAATATATTCAGATTATTGTCTCTTTTAATTTCTACAAAACCATTTAAATGATAGAAATATAGGTTTGAAGGAATCCTTTTACTGCAATTTTGTCTCTTTAATTTTATGGAAGATAGTGGAAGTGTACATGTTTATTATAGAAATTTATTTCTATGACACTTCAATATTTTACCTTCATAACGTCTATCAAAAAATTGTATGTTATAAAGTCATCGTTACAAATAAAATTGTTTGAAAAGAAAAGATTCAAACACCGTTAAATCAAACTATCGTTTGTTTATTACTGTTTGCTAGAAATCCATTACTTGAAAAAACATAATCATTCAAAAAATTAACCATTATTAACCGTTACTAATTTGATAAAATGAAAATATCGATAGAATCATATACTCTGTTGAAACTTGAATGAAATTTATCTTAAGAGGACGTAACGACCTTTCCATGTAAAACGGTATGATGTTCAAAGCGCAACCGACTTCAAGTAGGTAAGTCTCGTAGTGCCATAGGTGTAGTGCACTCGATTCGTTCCTTTCTCTGATAATCGATCATTCAAGTAATTAGTATTCAGATAATTGGTATTCCCGTTAATCGACATACTGACTATCGACGTTTCATTGCATGTCATTGCTGCACTTCACTGACCCACGCCAGCAAAGACAAGTTAGAAAGTATGAAAGACACACTAGTTATAAAAAATTACGTTAACATCATCCATCATTAATAGACTGCCGATATTTATGTATTTATGTATTTAAAATTTAAACATGCAAAAATGCAAAAAATGCACGTAATATACATAAATATATAAAATATCTGGAGTATCTCTTATGATATTTATTTATTTTATATAATAACAAATAGAACAAGTCTGTATTTGAGTCTTTGCTTTAGATATGTATAAATATATAAAGTATATATAAAGTATAATGATGAATAGAATTTATGAGGAAAATAAATATGATCGGAATTAAATTTTTGACATAAAACTTCTTCCAATTAATTCTAAATAAATATGTCTTACTGACAAATTTCTGAGCGAAAATTACGTAAATTCTTATTTGCAAATTGTTTCGGCGAGTAACAAGTGCATAAATTAATGAATGACGAGATATTATAAGTTGAAGCATCTATTTCGTTATGTATAAAAGGTGTAATATGCTATTGGATATAATGATGAGATCACGTTTACAGTATAATACAAGAAATGAGTTGCACTTTCAAGAGGACGACGATGAACACTACACGCAATGTTTCTACGATAAATTATCGAATGATACTCTATGAATTATTTTGTTACATTCTAAAAAATTACTCGAATATTGTTATAAATATAAACTATTTTTTAATATACAGTATATATTAAATTTGTTAAACTGTATATGGGTTAATAACAGCTTGTAGTTAATTACGTCAAAGTCAGCTATTCTGTCTAATCATCTTTATTTCTATTGAGATATGTATAATTTTATGTGCTAGACTAGATTAGGTGCGTAGTAGAAATACTTGTATGTGAATATCAGTGTGTGGAAGTATGTGTGTGCGCGGCGTCTCGAAAACAAATGAATGTAAACTGTTCAGTCGGTTAACAGTCGGGTATGGAAGAAAGTGCTGAAACGCGTGCAAGTGTGTATCGATGAATGTCCTTAGAAATCGCTCATCAAATAAATATATAACTATTCTAATATTAATTCCAAGTGTAAATTTAGCATTCCTATACCATGTACGGCTATCAAGATCCAAAATTCTCAACAATTTCTATAGAAATATAAGGGAAATTTAAAATGGAAACACTATGTACAAGATTCTGTAGAATGTCATTACAGCGTAATACTGAAATCCGAAATCCATTGTGCACACCAAGAAATAGGCAAGAATTTCTACGAGAGCTCGCCAACTAAAACATGATAATCCGTCGTTCAAGTGTTAAGTCCGATTAATTTTGAAGAAGCACTCTGCGTAATGGAACAAAGGAATTATTTACACTAACAAAAGTTTCAGAAGCTAACTTCGAATTCTATGTAACTTCCAACCCCTTTGAGAGGAAACGAATTCCTATACAATGCACCTTAATGTCGTCTACAGTCTCGAAATAATCGACAGATTTCGTTCTTCTGTCGCGTCTTTGTTCTTTTCCTTTTGAACAAATAAACAAGGACATTCAATTAAAACTTTCATACAGTCGCGGGTCCGTTAATAAACTTTCTCGTTAAATTATAAGCCAGATAACAATCAAGAAGTCTATGAAATATTGTTAATCAATTCACTCCATTGACTGGTATCAAATGACGAACTGTAGATTGGATCAATGAATTCAGTAGTGATTATGTTACGGGATAACGTAATAGAATCTGATTAAGATTGTTTGATTGTATAAATAAAATCTTTGCTAAGTAGTTGCGTAAGTACTTCGTTTATTTGAAATGAATGTTGGTTGTTTGATAATACTCGAAGCTATTGCCCGTATAAATACTGGTCTATGATCGAAATTAGTTTGTGATCAAATCGCTCTATTAAAACAAAAGTTCAGTAGTAGAATTATTTCGCGAAACAATGACGTTAATTGAACTTTTACATTTGAGCAAATTACTTTCTTTGAACTATATGTCTGAGGTTGTTTGAAAATTAAGACGTACATCAATATATGTATAGTTCTTGAATCATTTACGAATTTAAAATTGAAATCCAAAACGTTTCTCAACAAGATCGAATCTCAATTATGCTCAGGTATTACCAAGAATTTTAAGAAAGGAATGACTACCTGCCGAAACGATTGTTGTGATTATTTAGCTGATAATGTTTTTTATATAAAACTATAATAAATCAAAGTTTATGTGCGTTGAAACAAATTTTTATGTTTTCTAAATTAATACTCATTTTATTACAAAAAATATTTTAGAGCTCTTAAAGAGAAATTCTTTATTTAATGACCAACAATCTGCAATCAAAAATTCCCATATTACGGAAACATCCCTTTTTGTAATGTCGTGATTTCTATGGTTTTATGATTCCGACCTAAATCATAAGCGAAAAATACCTATAACTTGTTGTATTTTATACCCATCACATGTCGAAACGCAACACAGTCGAACGATGATCCGCGATCATATCGATTGACAGTTCTCCGTTGTGACTTTTAATCACGATGGATTTGTGGTAACACAATCGTTTCATCTCCCATGTTATTCCTTGTCGATGAGGCTGCGGCTCAATACACGCTGCGACGCGTCATAATCTGTCACTAAACCGCAACTGACGCGAGCACAAAGGCAGCGAAGCCTCTTCGCAGGGAACACGTTCGGTTTTCATTGTGGATTTCTCCATGTCTAGGGAGCATCGTATTGCTGCTTTAATGATAACACGATTTGTGTACGCCACATAAAGCATGGAATACTGTTAAGGTATAGAGAGGATTCGGAAATACAAATAGTTTAGTTTATTCACACACATATATATTACACTCTGAAGACCTCGATAAACTTACACGCACGCTTATTGTCAACCGCCTCTTCTAGATTCTTCTAACAGCCTCCAATCGTCTTTTGTCTCAACTGAGACCTGGACGCCCTCTGACGCTTACACACACATTCACATGTACAGTGTAAATGTATCATCTACCTAACCCACCTCCTTACATTATACTCTACACTTAATCGTATTTACATGCTTGTCGAATTAATTAACAGAAAATTTAACACTTATTGCTTTATTTACATTTCTCTCATTTTCATCCATGACCTAAACCTTTCGAATTTCTCTCTACACAGTGCCTGTGAAAAATATCCGCAGTATTTTCGTCTGTACCTACTTTAATTATATTTATCTTATTTCCCTTTAAGCATTCGTGAACGTAGTGGTAATGAACTTTCATGTGTTTAGAATTTTTTGTGAAATTTCTGTACTTTGCTATACTTATCACTCCAGAGTTATCATCATAAATTTTTACAGGGTTATTGTCTAGATTTACATTGAAGACCTTCATAATTTCTCTAATGGACATTAATTCACTCGCCGCTTCCGATAGAGCTACATACTCTGTATACGTCGAGGCTTTTGTCACATACCTTTGTTTTTTAGACTTCCAACCGATTACATTTCCATACAATTTAATTATATATACAGAAGTAGATTTCCTATCTAAATGATCTCCTGCCCAATCAGTGTCCACATAACAATCTATCGTTTCACACTTTTCATTCCTTTTATAATGTAACCTATAATCTCTAGTCCGGTACAAATATTTCAATATTCACAAAACATATTTAAAACGTGTCTCGCTACAACAATCTTGAAATCTACTTAAATAATTCACACTATAACTTATATCAGGTCTGGTATTTGTACTAATATACAGCAATGCACCAATTAAATTCTTGTATCCAATGTCATTTCCATTTATCTCAGCTTTTTCAATTTTTAAATTTGTCTCCATAGGTGTAGAGTAGAATTCGCTGTTTTGTAATTTATATTTATTTGCTAATGATTCAATGTATTTTGTTTGGCTTAGTCTCATTTCATTTTTGATATAATCATACCCTATATTTATTCCAAGATATTCTCTTACTTCACCTAAATCTTTCATTTTAAATTTATCTGTTAATAACTTTTTTTTGTTTTTACTACATATCAACAAATCGTCTACATATATTGGCAAATAAACAACATTTTCACCCTCTCCATGAGTATATAGGCACAACTCCATGTTATTTTTCTTAAAACCTAATCTCGTCATATACCTATCTAAACACTCATACCAATCCCTCGGACTTTCTTTTAACCCATAAAGCGCTTTCGATAATTTACAAACTCTATTCGTTCCGTCTGCATATCCCTTTGGTTAATTTATATATACCTCCGAGCTTACTTCACCATTTAAAAAGGCAGTTTCTACATCCATTTGCTCAATGATTAATCCATTTTGACAACAATATGATAGCAATATCTTGAAGGTCTGATTACTCGCTACTGGAGAATATATGTCATCGACTACGTTTCTTTGTTGAAATCCTCTTACCACTAATCTAGCCTTATACCTGTCATCTGATTTTCTCGTGTAAACCCATTTTACATCTAATACTTATGTGCCTTTTACCCTTTCTACCAACATCCAAGTTTTATTTTTACAGAGACATTCTATTTCTTTATCCATATAGTAGTATCGTGGACGAGGGGCCTGGGGGGAGGGGAGAGTGTCGTGCGAATTATAAACAAGCGGTTGCTGAGCATGTGCATAATGGGGCTTAAACAAAAGATATGAGACTAAGACAAAAGACAAAGGGCTGCTAAGGGACATAAACGAATTAACGGCAGTATGAGTTAAGAAGCCAGAGAGTGCGGATTGCGTTGTCGAGATAGTGTTGTTAGCGTTGTTGAGAGAGAGTTGAATCTGTGTTGACGAGAGTTGTTAATTAATTATAACACGTTGTCACGATTAGTTCATGTTAAATAACCATTGTTTTCTGTTTAATCCATTTATTATTAATCAACTAATTATTATATTGATGATACTACAATTGGGGGCTCGTCCGGGATCGGACAAGATAGAAAGCGAAACGTTTAACAGAACTATTCGTGCTAGTTTTGAATTTGCCGGTGTGTGGTGCGATAAAAGACAATATCGCTGAACGTTGAAGTTCGTGTAGTGTTGAGAAAAAATAATAAAAAATGGCAAACATTGAGGACAAACGATTGTCAAGTGAAGAGGGTTTGGCGCTGGAGCAATTAAGAAGCAAGCTTGCACAGATGAATCAACCAATATCTGGTGCGAAGTCAGTGTTGATTGCCAGGCTGAACCGAGTGTGCAGGGCTGGCCGATCGACTCCTAAGGGATCAAAGTACGGTGAAGAATTAACAAACCAGCGAGGCCTAAGGAGCGGGCAGAGAACTGAGTGCAATCACGAGGGAAATGAAGACCTCGAGAAGCTGAGGACGAAGGAATTGAGAGCGCGCCTCGCTAGTTTGGGGTTGAAAGTAACGGGAAGAAACACTGAACTACGCGCACGGTTACAGGCGGCCATGGATGGGAACGATACACCGAGAATACAAAAAAGGTACGCGTAGGGTGTACCAGGACTGTGATGAATATTATCGAAAGGCATGTATTGGTTCGACATTGAGCCTCAAAGACGTAGAGAACTCGTTAGAGAAATTCAGCGGGGATGATCTGCTGAGTATAGATCGATGGATAGAAGATTTTGAAGAAATGGCAGAAGTGTGTGGTTGGTCAGATACCCACATGGTAGCTTACGCCAAGAAATTTCTCACAGGCTATGCTCAGGCTTTCGTACGACAAGAACGATTCACGAAGTCCTGGGCAAAGCTAAAAAAAGCGCTGAAGGATGAATTCGAGAACGTAGTGAGTGACCAGCAGATACATCGCAAGCTGGCGCATAGAAGGAAAAAAGCAAATGAGAGTCTACAGCAATATATGTATAATATGCGTGAGATTGCGTGACAAGGAGGGGTTGATACACAGTCGTTAGTCAACTATATTATTCAGGGTATTACTGATGAGGTCACAAATAAGGTTGCATTATACGGAGCCAGGAACATGCAGCAGCTGAAGGCACGTTTCAAGCAGTACGAAGCAATGAAAAGGGACATGAAAGTGAAAACAAAATTTGGGGAACGCAAGGACGATATGGGAAAACGATCAGAAGTGCGAAATCAGTCGAGGCAAACAAGTAGTGACAAAAGAAGATGTTTTAATTGTGGCAGTGAGGATCATTTAAGTGCTGAGTGTCCGAACAAGTCGAGAGGACCTAAGTGCTTTAAATGTAGAGAGTACGGACACATCGCATCGAAGCGCGATAACCTAAGCGAGTCCCTTAAAGAGGTTGGTAGCGTGTTTCGATTATTACCGACGAAGCGTGGTAAAAGCGGAAGACCGGAAATTTCGAATTAAACGCGCTGATAGACACCGGTAGCGAATTAACCTTAATGCGAGCGAATCAGTATGTAAACATTGGAGCGCCCAGATTGCCAGAAAATTGTTAAATTTCGCGGTATCGGGTCCGAAAGAAATTGTACACTCGGAGAATTTTCGACGAATATTTTGATAGATAATGAGTCGTACGATATAACGATACATGTAGTTTCAGATACCTTAATGCCACACTCGTTGATAATTGGCACAGACTTCTGGAATACTGTCGAATTAAACATAAAGGAAGGAAATGCTTCTATTCGTAAAACAGAGGAAAAAGATTGCAATAGACTTCCGGAGGTGTTTAAAGTAGATATAGAAATACAGCAAGACGAGGTAATAAATCAGTCTCAATCTGACTTTGCAAACCCGATCGTAGTTGAAAAAAGGAACGGATCTCTTCATGTTCCTATCGAGAAGAACAGTAGAGAATATATGGCAGTTGTAGTTCCCACGAGTGCTTGTCTCAAGGACAGCGTTGTAATGAGCAAAATTTTATTAAATGAATCGGTTGCGACGAACATAACCGCGGTAGCGTCGGGTGGAAACGACACGGACGGTTGATGAAGTTTTTGTAGGATGTATAGAGTATTATCGTGCGAATTGTAGAGTCGAACAAACAAGTTCTAGCGCGAGTTCTAAGAAGCGAATGAAAAGCGAGAATGAGGCAGCAAAGAGAAAATTTGAGGTAGTGCAAAGGCACTGGTGGCGATCAAGAGGACGCAGGGCGGTCCAGAGCTAAAGTTGCATTCGAAGTTCCTTGGGTCGTACCGCGTGGTGAAAGTCTTGCGGAATGATCGCTACATGGTGCAACGTGAAAGCGAACACGAGGGGCCGCAAACGATCTCCATGGCGGCTGGTCATATGAAGTGGTGGCACATTGATAGTGTTAGTGACGCGAGTGAAAGTAGCGATGGTGAGCACATCTGAGGGCAGATGTGTTTGTCAGGTATGGCCGAGTGTAGTATGGAGGACGAGGGGCCTGGGGGGAGGGGAGAGTGTCGTGCGAATTATAAACAAGCGGTTGCTGAGCATGTACATGATGGGGCTTAAACAAAAGATATGAGGCTAAGACAAAAGACAAAGGGTTGCTAAGGGACATAAACGAATTAACGGCAGTATGAGTTGAGAAGCCAGAGAATGCGGATTGCGTTGTCGAGATAGTGTTGTTAACGTTGTTGAGAGAGAATTGAATCTGTGTTGACGAGAGATGCTAATTAATTATAATACGTTGTCACGATTAGTTCATGTTAAATAACCATTGTTTTCTGTTTAATCCATTTATTATTAATAAACTAATTATTATATTAACGATACCACAATAGCCTGTTTCCAATCTTCACTATTTTCACAACAAATCCTCCTCCTCCTCAAATGTACAAGGGATATCTACTCTACAATAATTTGCGTGAATCTCACTACTCTTTTCCTTTTCTGGATACCTTACTGGATTTCTCTTATTACTGTAGATCTCCTAGGGATCTTTAAGCTTTCAGAACTATTATCATTTTCATTTTCTCTACTTTCTAATTTTTCCATATTCATGGTGTCCAATAAATAATTATCTTTACTATCATCGCAGTCTGCATCGAATGAATTCTCCTCAAAACCGATACATTTTGTGCCTGTTTCTATGACCTCTACATGTCTAGCTACTGTTATTTTTCCACCTAATAGGACTCTGTAACCTACTTCACTATATCCTAACAGAATTCCCATATCTGCCTTCTTATCCCATTTAGAAACTCTTTTTTGTTCTGGCCTTCTTACAAAAACTTTACTTCCATGTAGATATCAATTGTCAACACTTGGTTTTCTCCCGGAGGATATTTCAAAAGATGTCTTTTTCTCTACAGCGTTTGCTAGTATTCGATTTTTCAAGTATGCCGCTGTACATACTATTTCCGGCCAATACTTTTTATGTACTTTCGCTTCCGTTAACAAGCAATGCGCCATGTCCATCACTGTTCTATTATACCTTCCCGCTGTTCCGTTTAATTCATGTACGTAGGTTGAACAATTATTTATTATGATACCTTTATCGCTAGGAAATGTATAAATTCGAATGTATAAATTGTTTAAGTATTCTCTTCCATTATCGCATCTCAATATTTTTAATCTCCTGCCCGTTAAGTTCTCAATTCATTTACAAACTGTACGAGAGAATCAAAGGCCTCATCTTTTGATTATATACAATAGAACCTAGCTACTTTACTATAATCATCGATAAATGAAATAAAATATTTCTCTCCATTTAATCCGGTAGTCTTAAAGATACCGCACACGTCCGTATGAATAATTTCCTTTATCTCCCTAGCCTTAGATCGATTATTTTTAAAAGGTAAATTATGCATTTTACTTTCTATACACACCTTACATTTCAAAAATTCCTTTCAAGTTTATTCGGTATACCTGTCACTAGCTGCTCTTTACGCAAAATATTTAAGTATCTAAAATTTACGTGCCCTAGCATCCTATGCCATCTTTCCTTTTTACTCATACCACTACGTTCGGCACTGTTTACTAAGTGCTCCTTCCCTTTCAATATACTTTTCATTTTATATGTACCATTCTCTTTGACCGCTAAAGCTGCAAGTTTATTGTTCTCATCTATTATTTTTGCAATATTTCCTTTTGAAATAACCATATTATTATTATCCATTAACTTGCATAAACTAATCAAGTTTGCGGACATTTCTTTCACATAAAAAACTTTATTCATATTTATTTTATTTCGCTTTTCAAATGCTTCAAAATAGCTTATAACATTTCCTACTTTTGTTGCCTTTATCGATCTATTATCGCCCAAATATATATTTACCGGTTCTTTAATGTCGATAGATTTATCAAAATAATTTACATCGTTAATTATGTGATCGGCACAACCGCTATCTAATAGGCACATTATTTCGTTACCACTTATCTCGTTCATCTCGCTGCTGTGTGCTGCGTGCGCTGTTGCCATCCATGTGCCTGCTCCTGAGTTGCCATACTCGCTCGTGCCGGCTGCTGATTGACGATGGAAGTTTCCACGTCCCCTGCTCGTATTGCCTTTGTTTCCTCTTCCTTTGCTGCGACCACGTGTTGACCCACGCCGATAACTGTTACTGCTACCCGATTGGACGCCATTTTGACACTCTCTCGCAAAATGTCCCACTCTTCCACATTTAAAACATCCTTCCTTTTTCGCAGCAAAGGCGTTAGTTTTCATTTCTCCTCGATTAGGTTTATCTTTCTTCTCCGCTATTTCTATTTTGTTTTTCACGTACACTACCGTTTGATCCTCTTCTTTCAATGCATCTATTATATCCGCTATATAACTATACTCTTCGGGTAACGTATTTAGCATGTGATTCAGCTTTTCCCTCTCACTCACTTGTGCGCCCGCACGTTTTAATTCATTTATTAATTTTTCAAAATCGCTAAAGAAGGATGCAGAATCACTGTATTTATCAAAACTATCTTCTCCAATCTCCTTCTGCACACGATCTGTAATGGCGTCGACTCTTTCAAGTACATTTCGTCGAACTTTTTCATTATTTCATACGCTGCTTTTTCTTCCCTAATATATTCTAATTGTCTATTTGAGATGGCACTATAATTTATGTTTATTGCCCTATGTTTATTCCTTTTTATTCCAGTCTAGATTGTTTGTTTCAGTCTTCACTCTAGTTATAACAATATGGCATTTTTTATACCACAGAAACATCGTTATTCTTGTCTTCCACATACCGTAATCCTCACCATCAAATATCGATATCATAATTTCCGATCTCTCGATTTTAATTGATTTCTTATTCTTTACTCAAGCGTTCCTACGTGCTCGAAGTATTTTTTCTTTTATTTTATACCCTTTGAACGTTTCTTCCCTCACTAAACTCACTCGAACTAACTCGCAAGACTAAAAACCACGCACTAAATAGCTTGGAAAACTAGTAACCACGCTCTGCTACCATGTTGAGGTATAAAGAGGATTTGGAAATACAAATAGTTTACTTTATTTCACACACAACAGCTATATATATATATATTACACTCTGAAGACTTCGATAACCTTCTTGCACGCACGCTTGTTGTCAACCAACTCTTCTAGATTCTTCTAACAGCCTCCAATCGTCTTTTGTCTCAACTGAGTCTTGGGCGCCCTCTGACGCTTACACACACATTTACATGCACAGTGTAAATGTATCAACTACCTAACAAATACTATTTGATCATTGTCATACGGGACAACATTGTAGGTTAATTTCTCGTATTCGGAAGATTGGTTCAGTATATTAGAGCAAGGTATATTGATTAATTTGCAAGTTGTAATTTGAAAAAGTTTCTCAATTTATTGGATATGGATGATATTTTTTATTTATTGAAGCAATTATTGAACTATATAGGTAAGTCTTTCATAAATGAAATATTTCACAAGCGTTTGTGTGAAACTCAAGTTTTAAAAATATCTGCGAAAACATATTCTGAAGCTATATATTAAAAATATATAATTAGGATTATATTAAATATTTTTGACTCATCATTTAATACCAAATGTTTAAAGTTCTATATTCTCATTTCAAGCTGGAAATATCAAATTTTTATCAAAGAGAGTATCAAAGACCCAATCCTTTCCATCATAAATGATTGGAAGCGGCCTGGAGAATTTGTTATATAGATTTGAGAGGGGATTATTATTCCTCCTCATTCCATGTTAATTCTAAAGTAACTTGTGCCAATGATGGTCAGATGAGTGTTGTAAATGGCACGAACGTTTCTTTGACCGATACAATTTGTCACGAACGAGAGCTCGGGACAAAGACGCATATCGAACGACTCTTCACCTCCATTCGATTGAGAATACTTGACAGTTCTTTTATCTACCTCGTCATTGACATCGGCCCCCTTTTGCTGACGATGCAAGATGTACCCCAAATCTACCGATCAAAATGAGATACATGCCCACGCTGAGAGCTTCGTATATTGTGACTCAAGACCCTGTTCTCTTTCTATCTCCTCTTTTTTACTGCATTGTAACCATCGAATGGGGGAATTCGATGCTTTCTATGCATTTCTTCTACGAAGCAGTTTTTTTCAATTTTGTCCATTGAATTTTTGTATGTCTATGCTATTATATACATGCAAATATAATACATGGAGCTGTAAAGGCTAATGCATGTTTTTATAATAGAGGTAAAAAGATAATAGTGAGAAATATATTTGGAGTAACATTTAGCGAGAGGTACTTGAAGTATGAACAGATAAAAGTAATGGATGTGATACAATAGGATAAAATATGGTAATAATGCGAAATAACAATGGCACAATGACGATAAGTTTTAATAGGGCTCATTTCAAAGATAACGAAGTATTGATGACGCAGAAGCTCGATTACGGAACATAGAATTGCTTATAATGTAGACTATCGATTTGAGAAGCTCTAAGGTAACATAGAAATATTCGGTATAAAAGTATTATATGAAGTTAAATTTAAATGAAGTTGGTATACGGTTAGCTTTTCGTAGGTTGTACTTATAATTATTATTCTATTATTTGTTGTTTATTACTCTAATTAGAATTCTTTGTGAGGTTGATGATATTTGATATTCAATTATACTACCTTCTTTGAAAAGTCATTGTATAATTTAGTATATAGAAAGATGATTGCATTCCAGTAATCACTTCTTAATTTAAATTACATTCTTTAAATGTATATTTCTATTTAATTAATTAATTAATTAGTCATTTAATACAAAGCTACTTAATTTGCTTATCTCCGATAAATTGTATATTTACTCAACGATGATTTACAATTGTTAGTTCACTAGAAACTTGAAGATGAGAGATCTTATGCTGTACACTATACGATACCGAGAAGTCGAGTCAAATTAAGGCCAATGCACATTTTAGTGACACGAATGCAATCTCACATCTTCGTGAATTGACACTTCTGATACGAGCATCGATAAAATATACCAAAGCACGAAGTCGCATGTTATAAAATACTAATTTTTTGCTACTTATCAGGAAAAAGTATAAAATTATATCGTTGATTCAAGTTGATTTCGTTCATTTTCTTTCATTGGATCTTATTTACTTTTCGTATAATTTGATGTCACAAGAATATTAGACAAGTTGTTTCTTTAAAATAAAATTATTTTGAGAAATATAATTCATTATTATTTTCAAAATTATGAGGATATCAGATTATTAATTTTTGATTATCAATAGAACTGTCACATTACATATAATGTAATATATCTCAAACAACGTTATCATTTCTCTAGAACTTATTTCACAGAATCGTGAAATTCACGAAGATGAGCCCGTCAGTCGGTGGAGCTAATTCAGACAGGGAGGAACTCGTTTTAAGCATTAAGTGTACAGCATTAAGTGTACAGTGAATTTGCTACGTGCCGGAGATTCTGCAACATGAGGCTAATGTACCGTGTAATATATTTCCGGCGTACTTGAAGTTAGAACCTTATTTATTTATCGTTCGGTTCCTAAATTTCATTATGTATTTTTAAGTTTGTTTCGATAAATAGATTATTCGAAATTTTCCATTTTCATACATCCTCGCAGAATGTGAACTAATAATGATAATATATACTTGAATGTACTAAATCATGTACTGAAAATTCGCCAATTATTTATTATACTAAGATTCCTCGTACAAATATTTTTATTTAATTAATTATTATTATTATTATATTGATTTGATTGTTATAATTATATATTATTTACATTAGGCGTCCTCGTTCAAAGAAGTAAACTCAGTCAGCTTTTGCTCAGACACTAACTGAAACGTCATGCCAATAAATGAAGTGCCAA